CCCCTCGTGCGCCCCGCCGCAAGCCGCGCACCCGGGCGCCCCGCAGCCGATGTCATCTCGCAGGTAGTGCTCGCGCACTATCTTCATCACACCTCCCGCCCGGGTCTTTTTTAAGAACGTCTTGGACTTCAGCATCTTGCTTCGCGCCTCTGAATTCCAACACGGTAGCGTTCTTCCGGTGAGAAGCGTAAAGCGAGGAACTCTGTCGCACAGCTCTACCTCACCCGGACGTTCGCCTCTTCCCAATCCAGGATGGTAGAGACTCTTTCTCGCGGGAAAACGCAGAAGACTTCTGTTGATTGGCTCTCTGACCGTCGCGAGGATTGGGCGAGAGCCAAGGGGGGAGGAGCGCGAAGCCATTTCCGCCCGTACCCTGGGCGGGGCTTGCCTCTGGACTACAGTTCCCAGCATGCCCTGGTTCCCGCGCCTCAGAAGAGATAGCTGCGGGCTGAGGTTCCGGCAGCGTGGGCAAGTACCCGCTGTTGTTTCTACTCTCTTCCTCCGAGCGCCCGGGAGGTTGTCTTGGTTACGAGTCCCAACCGTCTTGGCCCCAAGATCTCTAGTGGAGGTCCTGCAACCTGAGCTACAGACTGGAGACGCCTTCGGCACCTCGAAGTGTCTGCAGCAGAGGCTGGGTCAGCTTTCGATGTGGAATTATTGAAGCATTCGAGGTAGCTTGCGGCTGTCTCCTTTCTTTCCCACGCGGGGCAGAGGGTCGTCCGATGCTGCTTTGTTTGGGAATCACTCTTCCAGTTGAACGTACCGGCGCGCGATCCTTTGTAATCTACGAGAGGATTTTGTTTTTTATTCCACCTTTTCTCACCCTGTTCCCTTTAAAAAGGAGGAGGGAGGCCACTCTTCCTGTTCTGTTTTTCTTCCAAACAACCCTCGTGATCTTCCGTTTAGAAACATCGAAATAGGAGACCGTACCATAAATGAACACATGCAGTGTTAATACAGGGAAGTTGAAAAAATTCTTGTGAAAGGTTAAGAGGTTCTCAACTTGAGTTTTTCTCTTTTACCCTCGTTTCCCTTCTATTAACTGGTCTATAAGCATGTTTTTGTCTCACTGTTTACTACTTAAAAAATCTTAAGGGATGCTTCATTGCCTGTAGAATAAAATTCGAACCTATTTTGACACTTAAGATCCTTCACAACCTTGATCTATAAGGGTATGTGTATTTGTGTGTGCGTTTGAGGGGCGAGAGGAGTTACTATTCAAAATCACGAAGACTTGGCTCCTGCAGGATTACCACTTTGATCTGCTATTGTTTCACACTTCATCCCTGTCTGTACCAACCATAAAACCTACACAAGCTCACTTTTTTTTAATGCACTTGTCCAAATCCTTCCAGATTCCACATATTTTCTCTGTATAACCTTCCCCTGACCAACTCAAACATGATTTTTCTAATCTTATTATTAGTGACATTCTTGGGTACTAGTAGGCTTTCATCACTTATTTTGTACATTTCATTTCCTCCCGATTGTGATTCCTCCCCCCAGGAACTGGGTTTACTATTATCATTGTTTATGAAAGGGTTATTTATAGTAGGAATTAATGAGTATATGTGTCATTTGTATAGTAATTTATTATAATAATCTGTCTGAGATTTGGGGTCCTCCAAACATTCTAATTTAGGAAATTTTTAAAGCATCTCTTTAATGTACTGTAGGTTTTCTGTAACTAATGTTTCGGTACATTTAGATTATTTTTTTTTTAACTTACAGAAGACTGAAATAGAGAAGAAAACCAACCCATAATAATAAAAATGTCTCGAAAAATTTCAAAGGAGTCAAAAAAAGTGAACATTTCCAGTTCTCTGGAGTCTGAAGATATTAGTTTAGAAACAACAGTTCCTACAGATGATATTTCTTCATCAGAAGAGCGGGAGGGTAAAGTCAAAATCACCAGGCAGCTGATTGAACGGAAGGAACTACTTCATAATATTCAGTTATTGAAAATAGAGCTATCGCAGAAAAATATGATGATCGACAATTTGAAAGTGGATTATCTTACAAAGGTAAGATCAGATATAACTTTGTCGTCTGTATCCTTTGTCGTCTTCAAACTGTAAATAATTATATGTCATACACACGCGCACACACACACACACACACACACACACAGTGAATTGGAAATTATACCTTAATATTTCTTCTCTAGTATGGCCTTTGAAAAATTTGATTATTGAAAGATAGAATGATGTAAAGGTGAGCAGGAATCAATTACCTTTGGAATTGATTCAATTACTTTTTAAAAAATCTAGCATCTGTGGGGTGTAGTTTCTTAGGTCTAATTTCTAGCCAAGTTGTTTTCTGCTTCACTGAGAACTAACTCTGACATAACTAGTTTGATAGGGAGAATTGAGGTCATAAATACATTACTGATTCTGTATTGTCCTCAGCCTTGGAGATTTGGTTTCTTTGGTACCTTTCTATTTCCTAGTTCCTGTGTCTGACTTCCTAGTTGATGGTTACTGTGTCATTGTAAGATGTAAAAATTCAGGTGCAATAGTCTTTAGCAAGTGGTGTTTGCCATACCAGTAAGAAGAAATATCCTAGTCCTTGTTTCTCTGCCTGTGTGGTTTTCACAGTTGTTTTATGTAAGACTTAGTAGAGTTGTCACTAGCTATAAGAAATTTACAGTAATTTCAAAAGAGAAGACGTCGTTTGTTCTTAGTAATCCTGTCTTTGAGAAAATCTTTTCTTTCCATTAGTAAACTCTCCATCTTTGCTATTGGTCTCATTTCCTGCCTCACCATTTTGTTCAGTTACCCCTTCTCTTTTTATTAAGTAGTCTCCTACTTCAGCACCTGTGTATACTCACATACTTCATTAGAAAAATTCCTTAACCATGACTCTGGGAAAATAAGAAAATGTCTAAAACTTCCATCTCGATAAAATAAAGAACTAGTGTAGGTAAGTTTTTAAAAATATTAATAGCTAACATTTATTGAGTGTTTGTGCTATGCCAGAAACCATTCTAGGAGCTTTGTGTGTGTTGTCTCACTTAAGCCATGTAACAAATCATTGAGATGCAGGTATTTTGGGGTGAGGAAGAGACTTTTCTGACTGGTGACCTTAAGTCAATGAATAGAGTAAGCTAGACTAGTAGTTGTTACTTTGTGTCTTAGTCTACTTAGGCTGAAATAATAAAATACCATAGATAAGGTACCTCATAAACAAAAGAAATATATTTAGTTAGTTTTTAATTTTTGCCAGAAAGGGCATGCACTGGGGGGGGGGGGGAAAAAGCACCCACTACTCACTATGAGGAATGGTCAAACTACAATTCTTTGTCTCTTCCTTCCTTCCAGATTTTGAGCAAGCATACACACATGCCTGAGATGGTGACATGCTCAAGCCACTAAGTCTGGGACTTGCACCTCAGGGTCAGCCATGTGGGATCTGGCTGCCTAAACCATGAGGGCACAGAGCCTGCCCTATACTTTTTATTTATCTTTTTTTATTTTTTAATTGCCCAGAGTAGATGTTTTCCTCAGAGAGCCAGTGAGAGAGAGAGAGAATTAGAGAGAGAGAGAGAAAGCACCCCCTCAGTGGCATGGTAAGGTTATGCAGATGTCCATTTTCTTTTCTCCATCTGCTTGGAATTTCAGGCATGTACACACATAAGCCTGACATGTTTTTTAACCTGCCAGGGTCAGGATTCAAACCATGGTTGGCCATGTGGGTTCTGGTTCTCTTAACCACTAGGCTATGGGGCCGGCCTGGCGGCAGATATTTATTTTGCATAGCACTAGGTAGTCTAAGATACCAATATGGTCAGGTTCTGGTGAGGGCCCTTTCTCAGGTTTCATATTTCTTACAATGTCCATATAGGGCAGAAGAGTGAACTCACTTTCTGGGGTCTGTTTTTTTTGTTTGTTTGTTTTTTTGTTTTATTTTTTTGGAGAGATTTTCACTATAGGGTGCATGCGCTCGCCAGACAGACAGAGAGAGACATAGAGACAGAAAGTGAGAAATCACCCCCCAGGGGGGATGGTCACGCCGCAATCCCTTCTCCTCCATTCTCCTCTCGGGATCTTGGGCACGCATGCACACACGCCCGGCGTGAGTTTCAAGCCACCTGGTCCGGGACGCAAACCGCGATCGACTATGTGGGAGTCCAGCGACATAGCCATTACGCTAACTGCTGGTTCCCTGGGGTCTGTTTTATAAGAGCCCTAATACTGAGAGCTTCACCCTTATATTCTAATTATTTCCCAAAAGCTTCATCTGCTAATACTAGGTTTTAATATATGAATTTTGAGGAATACAAACAATTAGCATAGAATAAATATTAGTCTTGGTTTTCATCTACTAAAATAGTATCCTCACCTTTTTTTTCACCCCTTTATTTTCTGTGCCTTATGTATGTGTCCTAGGACTATCCAACTGACATTTGGCTCACTTAATAGACTGTGAAATCTGTGAGGAAAGGGAAGTCATCATACTTGATGTTTTATCCCCAGGACTTAAATAGTCTGGCACGTAGTAAGTGCTCAGCTATTTCCTTTCTTGACTTTTTTTTTCCCCCCAAGAGTTTTTTTGCCATAGGGCACATGCACTTGTGGGAAGAAGAGAGAAAAAAAAAGTGAGGGAAAGTGAGAAATAACCCCCCCAAGGAGGATGGCCATGCTGCACTCCTTTCTCCTCCTGGGATCTTGGGCACGCACACACATGTGCCTAGCATGATTTTCAAGCCACTAGGCCCAGGACTTGAACCGTAGTCAGCCATGTGGGAGTCCAGCAGCGTAACTACTACGCCATCTGCTGGCCCCTCAGCTACTACTTAAATGAATGATTTGACCTAATTTCTCTCTTGATGAAACAAGGCTCTAGGGTGGCCTTAATAGCATACCCAAGGCCATTCATCTGGAAGTGATAGAGCCAGGTAGGTTCCAGACCTAGGAATTCTAAAGCCCAGGCTCTACCCAGCTAACTCTCCAGTCACTTCCTTTTAGATAGCCTCTGTAGTTAGCTCCCCAGACTACATCACCTGGTAGTTTATCAGTGCATCCAGTGCTTATTCTATCCCTGGTTTTACTCACGTTGCTTTTCTTCAAGTGTACTCCTACAGTGTTACTGGCTCTTATATCTCCACTTCTTAAAACCTTTGATTCAACTCATTGAACAAGCCTGGGGTAATCTCATATTCATTAATCCATCTATACAGTCAACAAATATTTGATTAAGTATCAACAATATACCACATCCATAGTACATTTTGCTTGGCTGCTTTTTTTTAATGGGTTTTTGTTTTTGTTTGCTATAGGGTACATGGGTTCACTAAAGACAGGAAGCACCCCTAGAGAGAGAGAAAGCACCCCCCAGGAATTGACCACATCACAGTCTCTTCTTTTCCATACTCTCCGTGGGATTTTAGGCTCATACAAGCACATGAACCCCATGTGTTTCAAGCCAGCAGATCTGGGACTCAAATTGCCCATTTGGCCATTTGGGATCCATCCACCTTAACTACCACACCACCTAGCAGGCCCATGGCTATTTGTTTTATTATTTATGTTCAGCTTTCATTGCACTTGTTTATGGGGCTTCCCTTTTTTTAAACTGTAAGTTTCACATTATACAAATGTTTGCTAATTCATGAGAGACTCTGTAACAGATTAGAGCTTAGTTCTAGGTATAAACGGTTTGGGTTGGAATTCCAGCTTTGAGTTACCTTAGGAAAATTCCTTAACTTTTTTCCTCTGATTTTCTGTAAAATAATAGTAGTATTTATTTTATAGAATTGTTGAGAGCTTTAAATTAATCAATATATGTATGTAAATTCTTAGATCCTTGATATATAATAAGTATTAATAGTTATGATTTACTTATCATTACAATAAAAACACATTTATTGTTCATTTATAGCTGTACTTACTCAGCACAATTTTATTTATTTATTTTATTTATTTATTTTTGAGAGGTTTTTGCTATAGGGCACATGCACTCGCCAGACAAACAGAGACAGAGAGACAGAAAGCGAGAAATTACCCCCCAGCGAGGATGGCTACACCGCAGTCCCTTCTCTTCCATTCTCCTCTCGGATCTTGGGCACGCACGCACATGTGCCCGGCGTGAGTTTAAGCCACCGGGTCCTGGACTCAAACTGTGGTCGACTATATGGGAGTCCAGCGACATAGCCATTACGCTAACTGCTGATCCCCGGCACAATTTTATTTTTGTACTCCCATGGTACTTGGTATAATTTTGTTGTGGTTTTATAGTTGGGCTACAAATGTAGAAGATTGAATTTAGGCATATTCCTGATTTTATGATGCAAAAATAATCACTACTCCCCAAAAGGTCTCTCTTAAGTACATTTATCCTTTTTATTCTCATAGCTCAGATTCTTCCTCCCCATTTTTTTTTTTCTTTTAATTTTGCTAAATGATCTGTGCACTTGCCAGAGAGAGGAAAAGTGAGAAATCACCTTGCAGGGGTGATGGCCACATTGCTGTCCCTTTTCCATTCTTTCAGGATTTTGGACATGCACACATATGTGCATCTGGTGTGTTTCTCAAGCCACCGTGAACACAGCTATGTGGTATTTAGACACCTTAACCAACACACCACTAACTAGTCCTTTTTTCCTTTATTTATGTTACCATTTTAATGTTTATCTTTCTGTTTACCTGTGTTCTTGAGAGTAGATTTACTTTACATACATGTAAATTAAGTGGGTTGCTTTAGATCGTATCTTTTTTCACTACTCAGCATTATTTTAAAAAAAAATCATGTGTTACTTTGTGTACATCTAGTCCTTTGCTTCCAGATCTCCCATGATTCTCAGTCTACATAGACAAAACTAGCCACTCACACAGTGATAGACTGCTGGTCACCTCCAGAGGCTTCCAACCACCAGGAAGCATTAGCTGCCTTTAGAGATTTCTCTTTGATTTCTGTAAACATTTCTTTAGCAAATAATTATACATTAGATTTACTAAAAGTACTGCAATTTCTCTTCAGAATAGTTGACCCATTCTACACATCCAGGTATTTTTGCCTATTGTATAAGTACTAGGAGTGTTCTGCTTGGAGACGCATTAGGAGTAACATCTGTGCTGACTAGTATTTGAAGAAATAATCATATTGCAGAATTCATTGAAGCTAAGGCACCTCTCTCATAAGACCAACCCTTCCATGTTGCACTAAGGTTAAAAACTGCTGATGGAACTGTTGTGTACCATAGATCATATGACGTGTTTCAATTTCAGAGCTGTTACGATGTGAGAAAGTATGAGTCTGGAATCGACCAACGAATATTTCTAACCAGCCATTCATTCTTCAAAGCTTGCGATGCATTGAGCATTAGGGCTACAAAGATGAAAATTTCATATTCTAGTTTCACATTTTCATTCCTATCCATTGTTGCCTGCTTTCCCCTTGCTAACTCGATTTCTTTATTCCGTCCTCTCTTCACATCTCACCTGTCCATTTTTAATTGCCCAAAACTCTTTTTTGTTGACTTCTCATTAAAGATCCTGGGTCCCTTATTATCTGGGAAATAAGAACGTTATCTTCACAGCTTTTCAGAGTTAAGGGATTAAATTTAGAATTTAGTTGAAAAGTTGTAACCCTGAAAAAATGTTTCTTTTCTAGCAGTAACAATATTTTCAATGTGAAAAATAGTAAATTTGAGGACTGTGATTATTTTGTATCTTTTGTTGATTTAAGACATTAATTAAGCAAAGGAATCTAGGGGAAAAAGAAAGAAGCAAAACATTTAAGGGATATAAAAATAGAAAATGATCTGTTGATGATAGCATGTATGATACTACCTGTAATTGGATTAATATACAGTCTGTTCATGCTGGGAAAATTCAGTATTGCAAGCTAAAATAATATACAGCAGTTGAATGTATAAAAAGTAGGGACCAGCAGATGGCGTAGTAGTTACATTGCTGTACTCCCACATGGTCAACTGTGGTTCAAGTCCCAGACCTAGCGGCTTGAAAAATCACACTGGGAGCATCCATAGGTGCCCAAGAGCCCACGAGGAGAAGGGACTGTGACATGGCCATCCCCCAGGGGGGTGATTTCTCACTTTCCTTCTTACCGTGTCTGTCTTTCTGTCTGTCCTTGGTGAGTACACATGACCTAAGGCAAAAAAACCTCTGAAAGAAAAAAAAAATAATTAAGTTAAAAGTTTACAGAAAAAAATAACCTTTAAAAGTTGTAATACCTAAGTGAAGATCCCACTGGTGAACTCTGGGGACAAATAACCGAGGCCTGCTGGGAACAGGATTTCTAAAAGGCAACCATGTATGGAAGGCTGTGGTCCAAGGCCATTTTGTTGGCTAGAAGCAGGGTCTGTGGAATCAAAGGGAGCACACAGGTCTTCTTAAAATCGAAGATATTTATGCCTGAGTTAAAATGGAATTCTGTTTAGGCAAGATGTCTGCTTACATGTACAAAGCAAAAAACAACACAGTGACTTCTGGTGGAAAACCAAATAAAACCAGAGTAATCTGGGGGAAGATCACTCATTCCCATGGAAACAGTGGCATGACTTGATCCATATTCTGAAGCAACCTTCCTACTAAGGCTGTTGAACATAGAATCCATGTGATGTGTACCCCTCAAAGATTTAAAATAATGAAAGGTAAAAGAATAAAAATAGATTCAGTTCTTATAAAAAAGAAAAAAAATAGAAGTAAAACCCATTCTTAGTTCCTGAACTGTACAGAAGCAGAACCTGAGGTAGTTTGGTCCATCATCATGGAACCCTTACCACAGATTGACATAAATGCAAGACTTACCGGCAGAATTTAGACAGTTGAAGTTATGTACCCTGATTTTATTCAAAACAGCAATGAAATAATAAGCTAACAACAGATAAAGCAGAAACAAAAGAGAGTTATTAAGCTGTTAACTCAGACTACAAGTTTTTGGCTTCAACTGGAGTCATTGAGAAATGGAAGACTGAGAAAACTCTGATCCAGGAGGTAAAATAAGTTCTGTTCTGAACGTGTTAAATTTTAGATTGCTCATAAAATCGTAAATGGAATTGTCAATTAGCGTGCAGAACAGGGTGTATGACCACATGTGAAATATACATCAGGATATAGATGGGCTTAAAGCCATAGAATTAGATGATGTTACCTCAAGAAAACAGAAGGCCATAAACCAAGTCTAGAGGCAGTCTAATAATTAGAAATTATTAAAGAATTCAGCAAAGGAATCTAAGGAACTTAAAGGGGTTTCCAGTGAGTTAGGAGATGAGGAAAACCACCAAGAAAATATGGAAGCCAAAGAAAATGAAGTGACTGGCTCTGTCAAATCATGTTGTCAAGATGAATATACAGAAATAACCATTGGACTGTGTGCTGTGGACTTTGACAAGAGTGGTTTTGCTGGACTAGTGTGGGACCAAGTTTTGTTCTGAAGGTGAGCAGAGGGAGTGGTGTGATCAAGGATGTACTGTCTTATTTTCCTAGTGAGAAATGAAACACATTTGCTTAATGGTAAGAATGAATCAGTAAAGGGAGAAATTTTGCAAGAAGGATTCACTTGGATTATATTAGAAATTAATTGGTTGTTAAATTGATCTGTTTTAGAATAAACAAGAATTGCCGATATTGAAGGCCAGCCCTGTAGAACAGTGGTTAAGTGCTGTAGATTGGGAGCTCAATCCCATGTGGCCAGCCACACAACTCAAATCTCCATCTCTGTAGCTTGGAAAACATCGGGTGCTTGCATGTGTATGCCCAAGATCGTATGAGAAGGAGAACTAGAGGAAAGGAATTCTGGTGTGAACATGCCACATAGGGGGTGCTTTCTCTCTTTTCCCTCTTTCTCTGTTGAGTGTATGTACCCTCTGGCAATAAGAGAGGAAAAAAAGAAATGCCTGGGTTGAAAGGGAAAGAGAGAGAATTTTCTAAATATACTAAGAACAAAATCCCAGTACATAGAGCTTTAAGAGAACACAACAAATTTGGGAAATGCCAGCATTTATTTTGACTGGAATAGTTTTCTTTTAAGCTAGTAACGAAAGAAACTTTCTTCATAGGCCAGATCAAGCCTTTGACACAAAATTCAGAGTTTATGCCACAAAATTCAGAGTTTATTCTAAAAACAGAATCCTCGAAAGGACTTAAAACTGAGGGAATAAATTTTTGTAGAGTATCTTAAAAGTTAGGTCAATGAAGATGGTGTTGTAAGTTGGGCAAAACTGTCGACAGGGAAACCAACAGAGAAACTACTGTATTAGTCCAGGTAAGAGATGATAGGGGTCTAAAAGATATCTTATCTGTGGGTATCGAAGATGCTGTTTTGACAGCTAGTTATGAAGTAAACTCAGCAAAAAAAGTAGCGTCTTATCAGAATAAGCAGTGAAGAAGAACTAAGCATATCAAATACTATTTTTTGCTTTGGAGGCTAGGGAGATGCAGGAAATGCAGGATTAAATGAGGCTGATTATTTTGTTTTAGGTGTTTGTAGCATCACACATTTGGTAGTCAATTGAAGATGTATAATAGTCAGATAGGTGGATCTGGAGTGCAGATGCAGGGGTCTGACCTGGAAATAATTACCTGGACAAGGCACCAGCATGAAATCTCAGTTGACAGTAAGCTTGTTAGTGAAAGTGGGTTAAGAAGGAAAAATAATCTTGATGAAAGCCTGGCAGAAATCCAATTATGAGGCAGGTTCAAACAGTAGTATGAACAGACTGCAGTTTATAAGGCTTAACAAATTCTTTAGTCCCCTCTTCCTAATCTCTGGACAAATCACCTATTGCGGAGCAATAAATTATCCCTCGATCAGAGGACTTTAGTGATAAACGTTTTCTGCCTTACAACCTGTGTATGTCTGAAATTTTGATGCAGCCTCTCTGAGTGGTTCTGGCTCAAAATCTCTCATGGTGGTTGCAGTCTAAATGACATCTTTGGCTGCCATTATCTGATGCCGACCTTTGTCATCCTTACTATTATATCTTCGAATTTCTGGCATAGAGTGTAGACATTTGGTATATATTGAGGAGGGATACCCTTTTTTGTCTTTCATAGTCTGGCTTACTTCACTTAGCATTGAAACTTCTGTATTCATCCACTTTGTATAAACTGATGGGTTTTATTGTTCACTGTGGCTGAGTAATATTCATAGTATATATGTTCCCCACTTTTTAATCCAGTTATAAGTTCTTGGGCACTTAGGTTGATTCTGGAAATGTCTTAGTAACTGCGAATAATGCTGCTGTTAACATGGATATGCAAGTGTCTTTCTGATTGATTATTTTTCTGTCCTTTGGGTGAATAACAAGGAATGGGATTACTAGGGTAGGGTAGTTCTATTTGTAAGTTTTTCAGAAACCTCCATATTGTTTTCCATTTGTGGCTTTACGAATAACCTTTTTAAGTGATGTATACATATCTCCTTTTTAAGTGATACATATGTATGTGTTTACATTGATACATTTGAAAATTGAACATTCCTTTTTCTCTTTATTAAGATTGAAGAATTGGAGGAGAAACTTAATGATGCACTACACCAGAAACAGGTACTTACATTGAGATTAGACAGCCAATTGACTTTTCAACAGAAGGATGCCAGGTGAGAAAAGTTTACAAAAAGCACCTAGTATCTATTATATTTAGGAATTAAAAGTAGCTACTTTGGGTCAAAAATGGCATGGTGGTTAAGACTCCGAATTCCCACACAGCTAACCATGGTTTGAGTATTGGAACTGGTAGCTTGAAAATCACCCAGCCGTGTGTATGAGCATGCCTAAAATCCTGAGAGGAGGATGGAGGAGAAGGGATTGCCATATGGCCATCCCCCTGTTGAAGTGATTTCTTATTTTTTCTTCCTCTTTGGTGACCACATGTACCTAATGGCAAAAACCTGGGGGAGAAAAAAACAAAAACAAAAACAAACAAGAAAACAGTGGTTTCTTTACCTGTTCATGCATGGTTTTATAAACTAAAGTAGAGAAACTTTAAGTCAGCTATGATAATAATTTTCACATCAGAACTCGAAAAGAATGTGTTGATACAATACACAGCAGACAAAAAGTCAAAATTCAACCTTCATTCAACAAACATTGGCCAATGTAAATGAACCATAAACAATAAAGGAAGCTCTCTAAACTGACCACTGTTTAAAGTACTGTCAAGATTGACCTTTTTTAAAATTTATTCTGTAAAACATTCTGATCGAGTCTCATGGCCTGTTAGACTTTTCTGGCTGGAAGGACCTTTTCTGCCTGCATACTTTCTTCAGCCCTGTAGGGTGTTTGCAGGAGTCTGTTGTTTTCTCTCAAATATATTTATGCCAATTGTATTTATTGTACTTTATTTAACTAAAAATTATACAAACAATGAAATATGAGTACAAAAAGATATTTTGTTTCTTTTTTCTGTCAGAGGGTCCATGTGTTGACCAAGACAAAGAGAAAGAAAGAGAAAGTGTCTCACAGCGGGTAGGGTTGGGGAGGTGGTGCCACAGTTGCTTTCCTCTGTTTTTAAAGCCAACAAGGCTAGAATTCAAATGACATGGAGCCCGTGTGGGATCTGGTTCCTTTAATCACCAAGCCGTGGGACCAAGCTATGTTTCTATAAAAACTATAATGACAGGACCAGCAAATGGCATACCAGTTCCGTCACTGTAATCCTGCATGGCTGACCTCAGTTCAAGTCCCAGACCTGGTGGCTTGAAACTCATGCTGGGCATATGTGTATGCATACTGAAGATTCCAGGAGGAAAATGGAGTGTGGCCATCCCCCCTGGGGGATGATTTCTTGTTTTCTGTCTCTCTATTTTTCTCTGGCAAACACATGTGCCCTACAGCAAAAATCTCTCCCCCCAAAAAACCTATAATGAGTTCTTCAGAAAGATTTAATAAAAGTGATCGACTAAAAAAATCAAACTAAGTGTAAGAAGACAGGTTTAAAGATTAGGGCCAAAAATTAAACAAATCTGTAGAAGTTATCTTTTCATATTTCTACCAGAATAACTTTTAAGATCTCTTGTCATTGAGACCACCAGACAGTGTAATGGTTACAATGCCCGACTTCCACATAGTAAACCCTGATTCAAGTCCTGGACCCAGTAGCTTAAAACTTATGCCAGATGCATATGCGTGCCTGCCCAAAATTCCGAAAGGAGACTGAAGGGAAACGGGTTGTGGCATAGCCATCCACGCTGGTGGGTCACTTCTCACTTTCTGCCTCTATGGCGAGTACATGCGCCCTAAAGCAAAAATCTCTAAAAAAAATAAATAAAAATCTCCTGCCGTTAAGAGAAACTGAATTCAAGGACCAGCAATTAGCGTAATGGCTATGTCGATGGACTCCCACGTAGTCTACCGCGGTTCAAGTCCTGGACCTGGTGGCTTAAACTCATGTCAGGCGCGTGTGCGTGCATGCCCAAGGTCCCGAGAGGAGAATGGAGGAGAAGGGATTGTGGCGTGACCATCCCCCCTGGGGGGTGATTTCTCGCTTCCTGTCTCTATGTCTCTCTCTGTCTGTCTGGCGATCGCATGCACCCTATAGCAAAAACCTCTCCAAAACAAAAAAAAAGAGAGAGAGAGAGAAACTGAATTCAGAAATCATTAATAATGATTTACAAAAAAGGCAGAGCATAACTCTGTATACAAAAAATCTGGACCCTATATAAAAGGTGTGGCGAATGAATATTTTTGTCTATGTTTTAGTTAGAAGTAAATGTGTAGTTATCTTTTATCTTTGTAAGATTTCACTTATATTTTTAAAGTGACCTATCCAATTATTAGCTATTGTCACATTAGGTCAGTGGATTTCAACTTTAGCATGCATCAGAAACATCTGGAATGCTTAGTGAAAAAGATTACTGGATTATGTCCTTAGAGATGTTTGTTTGGTGTGGGATCCTCAGAATTTATATTTGTTCTTAGGTGATGCCAGTGCCAAAGCCAGTACTTTGAGAAACACTATATTCAATACTAAGGCTTCCACTCCAATTTTCTAGACATTTATCAGTTTAAATGACGCTGCTGAGAGGGCAGATAAGAGGTTATCACAGTAATGCTTTTAATGCTGACAGTGGTAACAGTGGGTGGATTCTGAATATATTTTGAAGTTAGAGCTGATAGGTTATCCTGATGGATTCGTTTTAGGATTTAAGTGAAAAAGAGGAATCAAAGGTTATACCAACACTTTTGGCCTGAATAAAAACCTAAGAGTTAACGGTCAATTTGGAGAAACCACAGTGGAATAAGTTTATGAGCAAACAGGAGGTTAATTTGGGACATGTTCAGTAGAACAGTCTTATTAGAAAACCATGTAGAGATATATGAGAAGTCTGATCTGAAAGTACAAATCTGGACATCATTAGGATACAGATAGTATTTAAGTCATAAGCTAGATGAATTCCCAAAGGGAATAAATATAGTCAAGACCAAGTACTCCAAACATTATGACAGAGGAGAGAGACTAAGATGGCAGTGTATTAAAACAGAATAGAAATGAAGGGAATGTGATGTCTTGGAAGTGAGGTAAAGAGAAAGTGTATCAAGGAAGGTAAGATCAGTTGTGTTGAATGCGAACATTAAGTTGTGTATGCAAAGAATTAAGAATTGGTCACTAGAAATTTACATGTTATTTGGTGACCTTAGGATGTCAGTAGATTGGGTGAAAACTTGTATAGCGTGCATTTGACAGGAAAGGAATCAGAGAGAGTTAGTAGAGGGTTTCATGCAGGAGCAAGCAAAAGGGGCAGTGAAATAGGGTCTCTCGTGTTTTGGTTGTCCATTTGTTTTGAGATATGGGAAATAACAGCATATTTGTCAGTTGATGAAAATGATATAGTAGAAAGGGGAAAAATCAGAATGCCCCTCCCCCTTTTTGTCTTAAGAGAGATTTTTTGCTATGGGGCACATGCGCTCACCAGAAACACAGAGAGACAGAAAGTAAGAAGTCATTCTCCAGGGGGGATGGCCACACTGCAGTCCCTTCTTCATTCTCCTCTCATGATTTTGGGCATGCGTGCACAAATACCCAGTGTGAGTTTTAAACCCCCAGGTCTGGTATTTGAACCACGGTTGACTATGTGGGAGTCCAGGAACATAACTGTTACGTCGTCTGCTGGTCCCCAGAATGTTCTTTGTGCTCAAAATTTTGAGGAAAGTGACCAAAAACAGCATGCTACATATATTCTTTGAGAGTTAAGAGTAAATTCAGGTTATTTGGCAATGTTGTCATTTTGAAGTGCCAGGATGAAAAAGAAATGAAAAATATTACTTTTAATAAATAGAGTCCAAAGTAGATGTATAGTAGATGTAAGACTTAAAACTTAGGCAGAGGAAATATGTAATTCTATAATTTGAATTTTTGAAATTATTCTTTGGAAATAATGGATCAACCCATGACCTAGTAGTTAAGGTGGTTGGATCCCACATAGTCAGCCATGCATGATTAGAGTCCTGGACTCAGCAGCCTGAAGAACACCTCCAAGTGCATGTGTGCATACTCAAAATCTTGAAAGGCAGAGAGACATGGAGAAAGGATTCAGGTGTGACCTTTCCCCAGGGGTAGTGCTTCCTCATGTTTTCTCTCCATGTCTCCAGCAATCAGTTCTTCCTTTAATAATTTATGTAGCTGGGACCAGCAGATGGCATATGGTTATGTCACTGGACTCCCACATGTCCAACTGTGGTTTGAGCCCAGGACTGGTGACTGGAAAATCATGCTGGGCGCATGTGCATAAGTGCCCAAGATCCCAGGAAGAGAATGGAGAAGGGATTGCAGTGTGGCCATTTCCCCTCAGGGATGATTTCTTACTTTCCCTCTCACTGTATCTGTCCCTCTCTCTGTTCAGCAAGAGCATAGGCTCTAAGGCAATAATCTCTAAAATAATAATAAAAAATCATTTGTGTGGCTACACATTTTAATAATTATTGTGGAATTGTTAGGTTATGGTTAAGTAAGTAAGCATTTAGCTAGAGCCAAAAATACTATTGGGCTTTTCATTTCTTTATTTTATGTTACTGTAAATAAGGAAATTTGAGAAAATTAAAACTCATATTTCTTTAAAGCATGTCATAAATTCTCTCCTAATGTAGAAAATATCAAGAACTAATGAAACAAGAAATGGAAACTATTTTATTGAGACAGAAGCAACTAGAAGAGACAAATCTTCAGCTAAGGGAGAAAGCTGGAGACGTTCGCCGAAATCTGCGTGACTTTGAGCTAACAGAAGAGCAGTATATGAAACTAAAAGCTTTTCCTGAAGAGCAGCTGTCCATTCCAGAATATGTATCTGTAAGTGTTTTGTATCACACACACACACACACACACACACACACACACATATATATATATTTTTTTTAAGACTATAATTTTCTTTTATGTAGTAGGTATTATTTTTGAAGTACGAAACTGGTAAATTATTTCATGGCTTTGAAGTGGTGAGTGGTGTTCATATTATCAAATTTTTTCTTTTAAGAATTATTTATTTAATTTTATTTATTCATTCATTTATTTTAATTTGACCAGAGAGAGAGAGAGGGAAAGTGAGAAGGAAAGCCACAGGTCCAGGACTCAAACCGTGGTCGGCCATGTGGGAGTGTCCAACACCTTAGCCACCACGCCACCTGCTGGTCTCCATATCACCAAGTTTTAAAGGATCTTGATTATTCATCTCTAATGTCTAGCAGCAAATAGGATTCTGAAATGAATGATTATCTATTCCAAGTAATAAATTATTTTATCATAAATTTGTGGTTTTTAACATTTTTGAAATGAAAAATTATAGTGAACAGCAGATTTGTTGTTAGAAGGTGGTTAGAGATAGAGAATAGAGTTGGTATGATTACAGAGAGATAGGAAGCAGGAGAGTCTTGTGATACTAAACTAGCACAAGATCTTGTTGGCAGTGTTGGTTACACAGATCCATTAATCCATAGGATTAATCTATGACAATGGTCTCACACTTGTCTGTGTGTGTGCATGTCCAAAATCCTGACATGATAGAGAAATGAAAAAGACAGGACTGTGGCATGACCATTTTTCATGGGGAGTGTGTTCTCACTTTCCCTCTCCCTCTCCCATTCTGTCCCTAGGGAGTGCATGCACCCTCTGGTAAAGTTTATAAAAAAAAGAAGAAGAAAAGAAATTTACTTTTTATGTCCAGCTTTCTATTTAAATAGCTAAATCTAGTTTTCCTGTTCAGAGAATGCTGTCTAAAACAAGTATCTCAAGTGCTGTCATTAAGGCCTTGTCCACAGTGTATGTAAAATAGCCCACTGGTGGCAATTATACATACTTTTGTTTTCTGGTTTGTTAATGTCTTATTATATTTATATATAGCTTTTGTTTTCACAGATCATAGTATCCTAGCTAATTGATTATATGCATATCTATTGTGTTGAGGACCAACTAGACTTATCTCTTATCAGATCTGGTACTTTTACAATAAGGACAGATGTTTAAGGAGCTTCAAATGATAAGCCTGTACAGTACATGGTCCCTAGTTACCCTCTCCTAGTTTGTTGTGTCATCCTCTATAGGACCTCGTCAGATGTAACACTTTACTCAGTTCGGTCAAGCAAATTCTCCTGAGAAAATTAAGAGTGGCAAGATAGATCTGAACTGAATAGAAATTGTAATATGAAAGATCCCTGCTGATTCGTTCCCATTATCCCTTACACTGTAGTAGTACTTTGCCAATAGCCTGAGATAAGAAATTAAAAATAAATTTTTATCTCTTTATCATATATGAGTACTTATCATATATTTAGGCACTCTGAAATGTCAGATAAAGAATTTAGGATATTGATAGTGACAAAGCTAAAAGAGATGAAAGAGAAGAGAGACAACAAACTCCAGAAGATGCCATAGAAAAGAGCCAACAAGTTCCAGGAGGTGAAGGAGTTCTTGGTGATCTAAAGAGAACATACACACCATAGCAAAGAATCAGACGAAACTGTTAGAGATGAAGGCTATAATACAGGAAGTCAGACCCTCCCTTGAAAGTATTAAAAGGAGATTAGATCATACAGAAGATGTAGAAGAGATTAGATCAATCCCAGATGTAGAAGAAAAAACCACTGACCTAGAAAAATTCACCAAAAAGACTGAGAAAATAACCCAAAAAAATGAGAATAATATACAAGAAACACTAGACACCTTTAAATGCTGAAACATCCAGATAATTGGTATCCCAGAAGGTGAAGAAACTAGGAAGGGCATTGGTAACATATTCGTGAAATCCTGGAAAAAACTTCCCAAACCTAGAAAGGTGTTCAAATATCAGACCCAGGAAGTACAAAGGACCCCACATAGAATCAACCCAAGAAGATCTTCTCCAGGGCACATCATAGCTAGATTGACTGAAACCACTGAGACAAGATACGAAAATGGGCAAGAGAGAAACATCAAGTAACTTTCAAAGAATATCCCATTAGGCTAATGTCAGGCCTCTCACTGGAAACAATACAAGCAAGGAAAGAATGGGAAAATATATTCAAAGTATTAAGTGAAAAACAATTTCAACCAACAATACTATTCCCAGCAAGATTATCCTTAATATGGGAAAAAAGACAAAAACATTCCCAGATAAACAAAACCTGAAAGAATTTACCAGCACCGGCCAGCTCTCTATCTTTCCAAGGAGTTCTGAAAGGAGCGCTATACCAGGAAAACTAAAGTCAGACACAGAAATAAGAGTACAAAAAACAACCAGAGAATGGCCAACTTAATGATAGGGACAAGTCCAGAAAGGTCAATAATAATATTGAATGTTGGGACCAGCAGTTAGTGTAATGGCTATGTGGCTGGACTCCCACGTAGTCGACCGCGGTTCGAGTCCCGGACCCGGTTGCTTAAACTCAACGCTGGGCGCATGTGCATGCATGCCCAAGATACCGAGAGGAGAATGGAGGAGAAGGGATTGCAGCGTGGCCATCCCCCCTGGGGGGTGACTTCTCGCTTTCTGTCTCTCTGCCTGTCTGGCGAGCGCATGCGCCCTATAGTAAAAACCTCTCCCCCCAAAAATATATATATTGAATGTTAACTTCCAATATTTATTTATTTATTCGTTCACTCATTCATTCATTCATTATGGAGAGGTTTTTGCTATAGGACATGTGCACTCATCAAAAAGACAGAGAGAGAGAGAGACAGAGAAAGTGAGAAATCATCCCCCAGGAGGGATGGCCACTCCACAGTCCCTTCTCCTCTGTTCTCCTCTCGGGATCTTGAGCATGCACGCACACATGCCTGGTGTGAGTTTAAGCCACTGGGTCCGGGACTCGAACCACAGTCGGCTACATGGGAGTTCAGTGACATAGTCATTATGCCAACTGCTGTTCCCAACTTCCACAATTTAAATAGAAAGATTGGATGACAGTAACACTGCAAATTAAACAAGAGAGAAATTAATTACATGAGGCTGAACTGGTGAAATAGAATTTTATGACTTTTGACTAAGGCACTACTGATTTTCTTCTATGCTTTGTTTTCCAGATTTAAGAATTTTTGTCTTCTCTTGAGCAGTTGATAGGTTCCTCTACTTCTGCTTGAACTGAATCCTAACCTTTTTCCTGACTTTGAGTCTTGAGCAAATTTAATATTTTTTTATTTTGATCTATTAAAGCTAAAACTGCTTTGACTGCAGTAAGCTACATAGCTCTGGTCAGGTGTATTTGATAGTATGTTCATTCTATTCACTGAGTTTTATGCTAAAAGTCAGACATATGTTCATCAATATGTATCTGTCTGCTCCACTTGCTATTGAAAGTACTTAAATTAAAATCATTTGTGAATCAATAAAATGTGGGGAGTAAAAAAAAAAAAAGACAAAAATGTCTGCTCTCCTGGAGCTTAACATTGGTAGAGCAGCACAGACAATAACTTAAATACGTATTGGTTTGTCGGAAAAGTAATGACACATTTTTTGCCCAGAAGAAATAATGTCATGACTTTTCTGACCGCCCAATGGAATGTCTTTATCCAAGTGCCATGGAGGAAAGAACAGTTGTGGAACAGAAGTGTGGTCAGGTGGGAGTGTTATATAAATTGGCATAGGGAATCAGGGAAGATTTTATTAGTTGGTATGATGACATTTGATGAGGGACCTGGGAAGAGACAAGGCATAAGCTGTGTACTTATATGCAAGAACTTATTTTTTTTTTTTAATTTATTTTTTGGGGGGGTTTTGCCATAGGATGTATGCACTTGCTGGAGAGATATAGGGGGTGGTGTGTGAGGAATTACTCCCAGTGGGGAATGACCACACTGCAGTACCTTTTTCTCCATTCTCTGCTTGAAATTATGAGAATGACTGCACACATACCTGGCATGATTTCCAAGCTGCTGGGCTGGGAACTCAAACCATGGTTCGCCATGTGAGAAACCAGTGCCTTACCCACCACACCACCTACTGGCCCCAAGGAATGACTTAATTTTAGCAGAAGAAATAGTAAGAGCAAACTCCGTAACACTTGATGTGTCCAGAAAAATTGACAAGCATATAATGTGGACTGAGTAGCAATAAATGAAGAGTAAATAGTAAATGGAGTATGAGTATAGAGGAGATAGAGGAACTGTCATAGCTGGGAAATTACAGATTACCTGGCCCAAGGGTTTAGAATCAATTGACAATTGTCTTCAGTTTCGTGGATACTTGCTTTTATTAATGATAAATGAGAGTATACTGCAAATTAGCAAATTTTTATTATAATTTGAATTTCTAGACTGTTTATTTGATTTTTTTTTTTTTTACAAGATTCGGTTCTATGAACTAGTAAATCCATTAAGGAAGGAGATCTGTGAACTACAAGTGAAGAAGAATGACCTATCAGAAGAATTAAGTACACACAAAGGCCAATTGAAGCAGCTGACAGAGGTTTGTATAGTTTTGATCACTAGTGGGAAGAATCCCCAACTTTTCTATAAGAATTTTCTCAAGATGTGTGATAAAGAATAAAAGAAAGTTGGTGATCAAAAAATGGGATTAGAGGATGCTGTCACAGTTCTTCATGAGTAGTGGGAAAGAGGTGACATTGAAAGTAGTTATTTTAACAGATGAATGGATAGAAAAACTGTGGCACATATACTCTATGGAATACTATTCAGCTATTAAAAAATAAACAGCAAAACCCAGGCTTTTGACAGAAAGTGGAAGAATATGGAAGATTTACTGCTGAGTGAAGCAAGCCAGGCTCTGAAGGAGAGACATTGTATGTCCCCACTTAATATATACTGAGTGTCCACCTCTATGACTGAAACTGATTGACTAAAGGATACAGAAACTCAGTAAATGGATGTAAATTCCAGATATAGTGTGTGTGAAAGAGTAGGGTCTGAGGAAGGACATTTAGAAGAAAAATAGAGGGGCAAAACATTAATGGGACAAAAAAAATGTATTATCTGTTGAAGATACTTTATAGTTTTATCAGTTGGACTAAGGAGAAATGTTTACCTGTTGAAATATTCACCTTGTAAGCTAAATAATGTGATAGAATGTATAAAAGAAAATGAAATTAAAAAATATAAATAAAAAAAGAAAGTAATTATTTTAAAATTGACAGGATAAGTCTACCATATTGATCTCTAATCCATGGTTGAGCATTTTGCTATTGTAACTCATTTTTATAATTAACTACTTTTGAAATCCTAATACTGGCCATCTCTGAAAATTGTTGAGTATTTACTCAAATGAGATATAAGTATTAGTAAGAGCTTATTTAGTATTTTAAGTCTCTATTTCTTCTTTTTTTAATCTGACTTTATTTTTTGATTGATTGATTTCAACCAGAGAGGGACAGGACAGAGAGAGAGAGAGAGAGAGAAAGCAAGAAAGCAAGCCAGCTCCAGGATTCAAAGCACAGTCAACCATCTGGGAGTCCAGCACTTTTAACTACTATGCCACCTGCTAACCCCTAAGTCTCTTTATTTCTAACATCACAGCATTAGAAAATTTAGGTAAAAAACAGGAAACATAGATTAAAATATACAGATCTCTTAACTGCCATAAGTAAAAAGAAACGAATACTTTTAACTTTCAACTACAGTGGCTCCCAGGTTTTGATGTACCTGAATGATCTCCCTTATTTATTATGTATATGTATTAATGACACCTCATTCATTTTCACATGTCACACTCTAAATGTTAAAGTGTGTGCTATCATACTTATAACTCACTTATAGGAGAGTAGACTAATCATTAGCTTGATTAGCGCATTGACCAAATGTTCCAGAATGCTATCATGTCATTTCTGCCATTAACTTTTCACTGTATTAGTCTAATCACTTATCTAACATCTACTTATCCATCAGTCATGAGAAATTACTAGACCTTTTTCACCCTGTGTATTAGTAGTTTCTTCATTTTCATTGCCAAGTAATATTCCATTGTATGAGTATATTCATGTGCCAGTTGATGAGCATTTGAGTGTTCCATGCTAGAGACTTTATAAATAAAGCTCCTACAAACATTTGAATGTGAGTTTTTGTGTAGGCATGTTTTTATTTCTTCTAGGTAAATACTGCGGCATGCGATTTTTCACTTTTAAAACTTGTATTTGGCTTTATTTTCCTATTCATTTATTTATTATGAGTGTATTTTCCTTTATAATATCAAGAATAGTTAAATAGCTACTTACAGTCCTTGTCTGCTAATTCCAAGATCTGGGTCACCTCACAGTTGGTTTCTTTTAACTTCTCTTTTAAGAATAGATCACTGTGTTCTTATTTCTTTGGATATGGAGTAACTTTAAATTGTTTATTAAAATTATAAAGTAAATTTTGATAACAATGTGAATATTCATGTTGTAAAGACTCTACATTTTATATTCCTCTAGACAGTGCTGATGTTTTTATTTTAGCAGGAAATGAACTTCATTGTACTCAAAATACATACTTTGTTTCTTGGGCAGCAGCTCAAATTTCAGTTTAGATTTTTTTTGGCTTTCCTAGAGCTGCTTGGAGTCTTTCCTACACATGTGTTGTTGAGAGGACAGCCACAGATTAGGACAGAAGTTACCCACAGAATTTCTCCTTTCTGTCTGTCTTTGGAATTCCATCTTCAATTTAGAGCAGCTTCAGTTTCCCCAAACTCTGTCTTCTGGTTTTCCAAGCTAGGAACACCAAGGGTTTTTTGTACCTTTATAGATCTAACATGGCAAAGAATGGACCTGCCCTCAGGCTAATAATCATTAAAAAATAGCAAACAGGAAATTCGCCTGAGTGCTGTTTTTGTCTTCCATATGTAAATAGACTCCTCTCCAGAATCTGCCTGATTTGAGTATTCTTTTGGGTCTTGAGTTTTTTAATATTTTCCCAGAATTTATAGTTGATCTTAACAGGAGGATTATCAGATAGGCACTTACTTTAGGTTTTACCTGAAGCAGAATCACCTTGAATTTTTGTTTTAAATACAAATGAAGAAAGAACATTTAGTCTGTATAGGTAGAGATCCCCGTGCTGCTCCTGAAGGACCTTAGCTTCATTGGATATATATGTAATTTTTTACTGGCTTATAATGTCAGTATGTGATGACATGTTGGGCATAATGAAGGAAAATACTAAAAGCAAAAGAAAAAACATTAGCAGGTCTTGTGTAAAATGTGCAGCTTATTCAAACTATATGTAACTTTGATTATTTGTACTTCTTACCAATTAATAATTAAGTGCCCAGTTAAGTATAAAGTTCAGTGTGTAGAAACTAAACCTGGTAAATAGGGTGCTTAGTTTACTGTGATTAAAATGTGTCAAATATACGTTACTGGCCAAGTAAAAATGTGAGTGAAATTTATAAAGTCATAGCAGAAAGAAGGTAAACATTGACTTAAGAGAGGTTAAATAAACTCAGAACAAATACAGGAAGGTACTACTTTTTCATAGAACAAGTAATGTATTAATGGAGACTTAAAAGAGAAGACAGCAGCTAAGAAATGGAGATGTTTCAGGACCAGCAGTTAGTATAATGGCTATGTTGCTGGACTCCGATGTTGTCAACCGTGTTTGGAGTCCCGGACCCAGTGACTTGAACTCACGCCGGGTGCGTGTGTATGTGTGCCCAAGATCCTGAGAGGAGAATGGAGGAGAAGGGATTGTGGTGTGGCCATCCCCCCTGGGGGGTGATTTCTCGCTTTCTGTCTCTATGTCTCTGTCTTTCTGGGTAGCGCACAAGCCCTATAGCAAAAACCTCTCCAAAAAAAAAAGAAATGCGGATGTTTCAAAAATGGAGCCATAATGACAACTTCATAGTGGTTTCTTTTTTTTTTTTTCTTATTTGTAAAATCAGGCCACTTTAATGTTTTTGTACTATTTAATAAATAATCTTTCGATGACTGCAGACATCTAAGACTGGCTATATTCAGAAACATCAGTCGTGATGGTTTTCCAGATGGTGTATCATCTTCAAAATTACAAGGAGTTATTTGTATGCAACTGCTATCAAACCAGCAAAATAGCATTTATACATCCATCATTTTCAGGATTGTTAGTAACTTGGGCATATTTCCCCCAAATAACCTTGCCTCCTTGTGCCACAAGGCCCAGCTCACTCACATTCACCTCAATGACAGTACCTTTGGTGATAACACCCAAAGTTGTATATAGTGGGGATGAGGGCTTCTTCTTTACACCGAGTATTGGCAGGCAAAAGGTGGCTTTCAGTTCAGGATGTGTTACGTGGGCCTTCTTGAAACGTAAGCCCATTGGCCTAATGAATCTTTCATATTTAGGTGGTTTTCTAGTAAAGCCATCTCCAACAAAGCAGACTTTTATAACCATCCTCTTCCATGCCTTCTTCTTTCTCTCTCCTGTTCGAATAACTTTTAACACATCTGTTTCTCCCTGGGCTCGAACTTTGGGTAGACGGACTTCCCATTTTCCCGCTTTCTCTTTCCGTTTTTGTTTAATCATATTGGAAAGTACTTTAGCTCGGGGCTGTCCTTCTCTGTCCAACAGATAGGCAAGTATTGCTCCTTGTGGAGTCTTTTCATCATTCTTCTGTTTGGTGTTCCTCTTTTCATGCATCTTGATAGTCTTTTTCATTTGTGTTTTCTCAGCATGGCGCTGTTTATGATAGAGCTTAGCCTTCAGACCAATCATCTTTTTTGCCTTCTTTGAACATTCATGAGCCTCCCGACTTTCTTTCTCTTTTTCTCATGGTAATCCAAACGGTATCCATAGCGTTTACGATGTAATTCAATATATTCGTTTTGTGGCATGGTGACGATTGCAGTGTCGCTGGGAGCAGCCTCCCGGATGCAAAGAAGTTGTCAACTTTCAGATTGCAGAGACCAACAAGCAGACCCGACGCGGTCCAAAATGGGAAAAAGCCATAGTGGTTCCTTAAGAGAAACAGGACCAGCACATTGCATGGTGGTTTTAGTGCTGGACCTCACATATGACTCTGGAGTTTGAGTCTCGACCTGGTGGCTCGAGAAACACACCAAGAGTGTGTGGAGAAGGGTTTGTGGCATGACTCTTCCCCTTGGGGTGATTTCTCACTTCTCTCTCTCTCTCCCTCTCTCTATTTCTCTCTGGTGAGTGTACATGTCCTATGGTAAAAATCGAAAAGAGAAAAGAAAAAAGAAAAGAGAAAAGCAAAGCAAAGCAGATATTTGTTAGCTGTGTCTCCTGAGTTTTGAGACTGGCAATTAATTTTTTTCACCACAGTGTGGCAGTATATGTCCATCTTTTTTTTAAAAAAAAAAACAAGTCATTTTTGACTTAGCAGCCAAAGTATTACATTAAGTTATTTTCATTAATGCTTCTTATTTTATATTAACCCTCTACAGCCAATCAAATGCTTTTTTAGCAAAATTTAGTAGAGCTGTAATTGGGAGATAAAATTGTATAAACAAAGTTTTCTTCTATAATAGGTACTCTTCA